CTGTTTATTATTAAGACTAAATTTGTCATTTTGTTAATTAAAAACTAAAAAGTGTAACAACAGGTGTCTGGTGAGAGATTTTAAGCAATAGTTCAATGTGGGTCCGATTAAGGTTGTCGGTAACCAACTTTTAACCTAAATAACTAATGAGATTGGAAATAAAAGAACTATTTGGTGTCATATAGCTATGTTTGACAAACTACCTGATTGTAAGTTAGTTGATATCTGATAAACTAGCTGGTGGCTGATAAACTAACTGGTTGTTGATAAGTTAGTTGATGAACTAAATAAGTTTGGCAAAAATTAGCTAATAAGCTAGTTGAAAATTGTAAAAAGACAAAAAAGGACATGTTTAAGAATTAATAAAATTCAATATTTCATAATAAATTTAAAACAATTAATATGATATGTTAATAGTACAAAAGAAATGTTAAAAATAAATAAATAATAGAACATTTCATAAATATATTTGGATTTGTAAGAACCAAATACAAAATTTAAAAATATCTACATTAAATGTTAATATAATTAATTTAAAAAAAATAAAAAATAACCTGATTTAACAGAGTTCACGGAGACGTTAGTTAAAGAGACCATTTATCAAAATAAATTAAATAATATACGAATCAAATCCACAATAAACATATTATAGGAACCATGGTAAAAAAAAATATTAAAACACATGAGATAATATATTAAACATTTTAATTGTTTTTTCCTTTAAAAAAATGAGGAGATATTTCGCGAATTGAAGGCAGTTGGATAGCCGTTAATGCGTGTGCTGAGTTGGATGTTGTTGTTATCTATTCGAGGGGTGAGTCAGCAAGCTGTCGGTATATACGGTGTGTTGGGTCCCATGGAATCAAACACGCCAATTACAGCTCACGACTTTCCTTCAATTATTATCCATCGAATTCCACCCCTCGACTTTTCATTCAAATATAAATTTACAAATTTAAAGCTTCCATATTATTATTGCTAGTATTCCGCACCGCGTAATACTGAGGTTAAATGGATCGATAATCATATATCATATATTAATAAGAAAAGATATTACATTTTATATAAAATCATCTCATCATCATCCGTTGTTTTTTAAGATTCATATACTTATATTATTAATTTTTGTATATCAATCTTTTATCTATATCAACTTTGTAATTGACTCAAAATGATAAAAGAAATGTGTAAGCTTATTGATTATTATAATAAATATATAATGAGAATTGTTTTGTCATAAATATATCAATTTATATCCTACACATATTTCCATAAAATATCTACATGCACCACACAAACGCGATATTATTACCCATTTTTGTATATAATATTGCAGATATTTTTACAATTTGCTTACAGTTTTTTTGTAATATACTCGTTTGCAACTTTGTCCAAAAACCCTCCTCGAAAGCCCCTTTTCTCCCAACCTACATTGCACAAAGAGTAACAATAGTCGCTAGTATTGTGACAACTTCCGCTATAGGTGAATCCAATTGAATTGTTTAAATTTTCATTTGACTTGTTCGAGTTTTTTTTGATCCGTCTAAGATTATTTTTTCATTGTTCGGTTCCTTTTACAGAAAAAAAGGTTTTAATCATTTTATGTAAAATCAAAATATATTGTATGCTAAAGAAAATGACTGAAACTCACGTGACTAATCATTTAGTACATATATTGTTTTTTTTTAAATAATATATAGAGAGCGTTATGTAAATAACAATAACCGGTAATAATCATCTAATAATATATATATATATATATATATATATATATATATATATAATGAATGTTATGTAAATAATAATTGATGACAATGGTTATTTAATTATATAAAAAACAAAGAGTAATTTGAGTTGGCATTTGTTTTTTCAAATAGTTTTCATTGTGTTCACTATAAATCATAAAGTGGAAATTGTGTACTTGGTTCTTCGGTTTTTGGTTGGTAATAGAAGAAGGGGAAGAGAGTAAGAAAAGACTCCAGTATCATGCCAGCTTTTTGCAAACACACTTGTCTCGGGTAGGTTGAAATTGAGATAATACTTTATGGAGTAATTTGAGTTTGAACTCAATTTTAAAGGCATCAATAGTATTAAGCAAAAGATAGTACAACGTCGACACTACTACAGCATGCAAAAGTAGAAACAAACACAAGGAATACGACGACTAACAAAAACCCACGAGCAGCAGAAAACGAAACAACAAGAAGCCACATAAACCTATCTAACCACCTAGGTTGCAACACCAACCCATTCATGAATACTTGAACCCTTAGCACATGCAGATAGCCAACAAAATGATTTCAGTTCGATGTCAGGGTTTTTCGGGAAACACTGTTTTGGTTCCGGAATTCCGAATGACGTAAAGTCTTCACCAAAAAACCGTCATCCAAAAATCAACAAGAAGACATCTAATCTAATTGAAGGATGAGATATCAAACATATTTATGTTACATTTCATAATTATTTATTAAAAAGCCCATAGATAAATTAGGCAAAAAGCTGGTGGTCAAAATAGAAGGCATGGCTTCTGCAAGGCCCATAAATCGAACAAGGATTAAAAGAAGTCATAATGCCACCAAAACTTCTACTATTTTCTATTTCATATTTGTTTTTAATTCTAAATATAACATTAATTTTTTTGAAACTTGTCAATATTATATATAAATCAATAATAAAATAATTACATAAATATGACACTTAAATTTGGTTTTACTTAGGTGTCTTTTACTAAACGCTTATTTGAGTAAGCGCTTACCAAGTCACTTTAATTTATCGGATGAATATGGCAAGGACTAAGAATCTTACCCGGTAAAAGAAAGACAAGAATCGAGAGTCTTACCCGGTAAGTGAGAATGAACACTCTTACCATGGTTAGCGCTTACCGGGATTAAATTGTTGCATACGATGTGTTTTAGTGAATAAAATCTTACCCGGCAAGTAAACGATTATGTTGAACTTTATCGATAAGTAGTTACCAGGTAAGTATTAAGGTAAACGGCCCCTTACTTTCCTCACATCCTCCCTTCTTTATATTTTTATTACACATTTTTTTTAAAGTTTATTATCAATAAATATATTATAAAGGTGAAATTTTAAAGGGTTCTCAATAAATTATAACTAATATTTAATTTATTGATTTCAAAAACCAAGAGTCTTTAAATTGTTGACATAGAAACTTACTCATAATTTAAACAATATTTCGTTGTAAAATTCAAAAAATTGATATAGAACCACTTTTTGGGACTGCTCGGTAAGAGTTTAATAGACTGAATAGGACATATGGCTTATTCGCTCAACTATATAAATATGTTCGGAAATGACTTAATGGCAAAAAAAAAAAATAGCTTATTTGGTCAGCGCCAAAAGTTGAGTCGTAATAGACTCGGCCCTTTATTTAACTGATTTGTTTCCCTTTTGCCCTTTCGCTTTACTCCTGTCTTCCTTCCCGTCCCATCCCCTTTCTCATCTTTATCTCCTTTTTCCTCCATAGTTCAGACCTGCTTGCTCCTCCCGATCCAAACAAGAATGGCGCTAGACAAAGATTTATTTAATCCCCCTCAATCGATCTGTTTAATATTTTAACCAAATAAAGATCAACATCTGCTCCCTCTTTGATCTATCCTCACCTTTGTTAAAACTAAACATATTTGAAAGCATCTTATTCCAATTTTCAATCATACAACTAAGAAAAAACGAGTATACAGATTACAAAACTATCTATCTAACTAAATCTAAACTTCATAAGAACACCACGATGTCATATACAAAGAAAAGATATAGAGAGAAGAAGAAGATAGTGAGAGAGAATGACGAGAGCCCTTGAGAAAATAGAATGAGTGAATATGAGTCGGTTCTCCAAAAGACACGGCTTTTATATCTTTTAGGAAATGCAACTTTGGTCCTTGAAGAATTGAGATTAGACTCCACTACCCTCTGAATATTCCAAGAAGTGAGGTGCAGTTCATCTTCTATTTGAACAACAAGACTTTTCATATTTAACACTTTCTACCCCAACTTGTTAACACTATGTCAAAATAAGGACAAAGAAGTTAAGTTAGTCAAGATTGACAAGAGACATATTTTAACAACCTTCGACAAATAGGTTCTTTTTCTTGTCTAGGTTTTGAGCAGTAGTTGCCCTCCCCTTCGTTTTAAGGTTCTGCAATTACTATTTTCTTCTTCCTTTCGGTTCAACAAATGGGTGTCAATTCTTTTTGTGGCTAATCACTGTTGCTGGCTTTCTGGCTCCCCATCGCCAGCTCACCTTCCATTTTCGCCCCGTTGCCTTCCCCATAGTGGTGCTCTTGGGTTTTTTTTTTCATTTGGTTCTCAGTGACATGTGGTGGGGTTTTTTAGGACTATAAATTTGAGCTCTTTTATTTAGGGTACACATATTTGAGTTTTTTTTAAAAAAATTTAGGGTTGATAGATTTGTGTTTGTTAATTTTTTGATTTGGGGTTTATATGGGTGTTTGATGCAATAAGATTGATTTTTACAAAGTTGTTGTTTGATGTAATAAGATCGATTTTTACAAAGTAGTTGTTTGATGATTTTTTATAAGGTTGTTTTACAATTTGTTTGTTCTTGTTGTAAATGTTGTTTTGTAAAATCTGATCTACAAATGTTAAATAGAAACCAAAGGGTAAAATAGTTATTTCCTTCATTCACACTGTTTATTCAACACAACAACCGAACAACAATTTAGCTAAATCTGGACAGAAAACTTAACGATACATGACTTAATGATAAACCAACCGAATATCTTCTTAATAGTGTGTGGTTCGTCTTAAGTTTTTCTTTCGCTAGTTACGGCTAATTGGCGTTGCTAGGCTTTGTATATCGAATGCTTTTGCTCCTCTTAGCATTGGTTAAATAATATGAAAGTGGATTAGGATTAGTCCCATATCGGTGGTTAAAGAGATGGGATTTGTTGGGGGGATGTTACAAAAAGGGATAAAGGGGGGAGTTAGAAGGCATGATCCTTCAGGCAAGTTTTAATGGGAAGTGATGAGTGGTCGCTACTCGCATTTAATATGCGAGAAGGGGTGTTCGCCTAAAGCCTTACGACAATTGGCCACCTCCAATTTTTAACCATCTGATCCCTATTCTCTTTCATTATTTTCAACTACTTTCAAAAATATTAAATTTTACTTTTTTACTTTTTAATTAAAATAAATTAGTTTTTTAACTTTTTTATTTTAGATATTAAGTTTTTGAAAAAAATTTAAATTAATAACTTTCTTATTTTAAATTATCATTTATTTAAATAAGTAAATCTTTAAACTTTTAAAAATCGTATAACATTATTTCTAAAAAAACCTCGATAGATTCTTCAAAATCTTTTTTTTTTAAAAGTAGGAAATAGATGATGAAAATCTTTAACTTTGAAAATTTCTCCAAATATGATTTTTTAAGAAAGACTGATTTTTCATATTTTTCTACCGAGGATCCTTGAAATTAAATTACATTGTAATCTACAACAAATATTTTGCTTTAAATTAGACTTTAAATTGTAATCTCCAAAATGAAGAAGCCGTTGGAAATGAACCTAAATTTTCTTGGAGATTTTGATTTTTAATTCTTCATTTTGGAGAATTTGTTGGAGATGCTCTAACAGGCTAAAAGGTTTTAAATAATAAAAAAAAAACTCCAAAACCGGTTTTTAGCAGCCTCGCCCCTAAACAGATGGTCATCATATGATTAGTCGGCTCACATAGCGGGTTGAATATTCAGGTTAATCAGAATAAAGTAGCCGTGACATATGCAAAAAGTTTGCTATGTACCTTAAAAATTAAGATTTTGTAAATTAGTTCTTGAATACAATAATTCCACAAAGTTGCTTTAATTTCCCGTTATGAAGAGAAAATTAAAAAGACTAACTTTTGAATATAATTTAGGTTATTTTGATCTTGTCGTATTTTACTCCTAATCTTACATGATAAGACCATAGCTTAACCAATATTTAATTCAAAATTGAAAAATAGAAGAATAGCTTAACCAGTATTACATGATATGCATTAATAATAAGGAGTATAGTAAGTGGTCCCACATCGTTGTTAAAGCGAAGAGAATGGTTATGGGGGATGTTATACAATGGGATTTTTTTTGGGRGGGGGGGGGGGGGGGGGGGGAAGGCATGATCCTTCAGGCAAGTTTTGACGGGAATTGATGAGTGGTCATCGCTCGCATTTAAATATGCGAGAAGGGGTGTTCGCCTAAAGCCTTACGACAATTGGTCATCCCTACTATTTTTTTCTTTTTAATTTTTAATTAATTTGCTATTCTTTAAATCCTTTTTATTACTTTATTATTCGACTTAAAACACGTGTCAATTTTTCAAGCAAGCAAAGATACAAGTTGTAAAAGACGATAATAACCCTAAGTTCTAATTCATAAGAAAAATAGCATAAATATGTATATATATATATATAAGAAAGAAAACACAGGATTCAAAAATACAGCTCATTAATGAAATTATATCAATTATATATTTATGAATATCCAACCCATGGAAAATGGGGACAATACCAATTTGAATCATTTGTGTGGCCAAAAACATGAATAAATCAAGACTTGACAGAAATCTCTTATAATCTACTACACCCACCTCATATGTAAAAATGATATATATCATGTGTATATATATACATATACCCCAGGAATGCATGATAACAATGGCATTGGATGTGTACCAACAGCTCAAAATGTTGTGTATCCAACTGCTGCATATATCTTGCTTTGTACATCCCAGTTGAGTTGCTTACTTCCTGGGAGACCAGAGCTTTTAGCTTCCCATGCTTCAACAATATGTACCAACAGCTTAAAAACCTGTACCTAATCCATCCAACATATCCAACATGTTTGCATTTGTGTATCCTCCTGATTCCCTTCTTGGAGAACTTCCCATGCTTCGACTCGACGCGAAAACCTGTCCTCTCTTCTTCTTCACCACCACTATTTCTTGACTTTTGCTTATTCCAGGAACCAACATTCTCCGCTTCATCACCTCTTCCAGAAGATTCCGATCTTCCAAAGAGATTTGAACCCTTTGGACTTTGCCATACGTTTTCAACCCGTTATTATTATTGGTAATAGTAGGAGGAGATCGAGAAGGAATGTATTTCGGAACCTTATCTCTGAATCTGACTAGGCTTATTAGACGGTGAAGCCACATGATCAAATCAAGAATGTATCGGTCCATTTTCTGTTTATCAGCATGATAAAGTGTCTGCAGCCGAATTATACTGTTACTCCCTGCTGTCTTCTTTCCAAACTCGTTACTGTTAAACAATATTTAAGATATTAAAGAGCAGTCGAACATATACACTATATAGATATATATAATCAAATGTTGCAATTTTAATCTGAAAGACGGCACAGAAAAAACCCCAATAATTTGATAGACATAAGAAGGCTTTGTTTACCCTGTGTTTGCCCATTCCCCGACCCATCCAAAACCTTGATGCGCTCTACAAACACAAAAATTAACAAATGCAAAACATCAGTAACAAAAATGGGATTTTTTGAATGCATCATGATATTTCAAAAATACGTACTTGGTAGTATCTGTAGCTACTGGAACCAGCCATTGGAGGGTTTTTTCCATTTCTGCCTTAATTTGAGGCATTGTCATCTGAAACAAGGAACATGTCATACAAGGTATAGATACATTACCACGAAACTATACCCCCCCATCCAAAAACAAATATGTTTCCCTAATCGTCAAATATCTAGAGAAACACAGAGTCAATGATTTGAATATTTTGTAAGGTTTACTAATGGACAAAAAGAACATCTCCTTTTATCCCAATATAAGTGGGCTCATTAGATTTGACACCCTTATCGAACTTACTATTGTGTGATACGTCTGAAATTTATCCTTGTATGATCACATAGTCTTTTCAAGTTTGAACTTTCTAGTTATGAATTGGTGATGGGAATTTTTTGTGGTCAAGGAAACAGGAGATTGGATTAGAAGAAAACAATAGGGCTCCTACCCACATGTCACCAGTTCAAGTCTCCTCATGGGCACCAGGGATTTTCCTAGCTATTATCTTTAGGGCCTCATGGGATTAGTCAAGGTGCACGCAAGCTGACCCCGACACTTACAGTTAGCAAAAAGCAACAATAATAGAGATGGCATACCACTTCTTTGGAGTCGAGTGCTTGTACACGAGAACGTAACGCTGCCTTGACATTTGCTGGCAAGCCATTATATAAATTGTCCCTCATGTTAGGAGGTAGCGAGATGGGGCGAGATGCCTGGAATAATTAAACACAATATGTTCATTTAACTCCAAGAAGCATACCACCAAAGAAGTAAACAAAAATTGAGAGTAACTTACAATGTTGTCCATTTGAGTAACTAAGTTAGCATAGTGTAAAGCAAGACCTGCAGCACCTAGCGTCTCACGCTTTTTATGAGCCTCCTTACCATTCATCGTTGAACTTGGCACTAAAAGAAGGAAGCATAGAAGGGTGATGTCAGAGAACAAAACACACACAACTCCGAACAACAATAGAAGGCTTTATTTTTCTTCTTTTTTGGCCATTGTATTTGTGCATCGTGTTCCAATGACTTTTTTGCTCACTTGTCCTATTTTCAAGCCAACATAGAATAAAGTAACCAATTTCATCTGTTTTAGAAGGATGTTTATATTTTAAGGGTGTGTTTAATAAGGGGACAAGACTAGACTGGACAAGTGAGAATAAGATAGGCGGTTGAAAGAATTGTGAAAGGTTTTAGGATTTTACTTTGACATGGGTAGTTTTTTAATTTACCAACCTTGTCCCATCTCCCTAATTTTTGTTCCACCTATTCTGATGGGACAAAAAAGTGCATTTTGACTAGATAATGGGAACCAATGGTTAAAATGACACAAATTATAGTGGCCAAACAAAGAAGCCTAATAGTACAGGGGCAAATTACTCCTTGTTTTTTTCTAAGTATGCTGATAGTCATAGTTGTAGTTGTAAATACCATTGCCAAATCAAACATTTTTTAATCTTTCGGAAGGTAGTAAACATAAATAATTCGAACAAGTTTTAAATACCATTCTCTTCAAAAGCCTCCACAATCGCTTGATGGATGAAGGTGACAACATCTACAAGCTTCTCCACAACCTATAATGGATTAGGCACAAATAAAGATGGTTGCCATTAGTAACACAAAAACACACACACAAGTTAGCAGGAAAAGCTATTAATTTTTCATGTCCACTACGAATGATTGAATGTGGTATTTCTTTTCAACTCCCAGTGGTTTCAGTAAACCAGTGTGTACAAAAATAATCATAAGTTGAGTTGGTGGTTCACGGAATTATTGTGAAATATAAAATTGAAGTATAAGGACAATAAATAGCATTGAAGAAGATATTTGTGTAATTATAGATGATAAAAGCCATTAATAGCTTACCTCTTCCAAACTTTTAGACCAAAGAGATTTCCTTTTCAAGTTCCTCACGAGTTTTCTTTGATGCTTCACATCACTATGTAAGATTGTGAGGCTCTCTCCTAAAATGGAAAAAAGGGTACCATGTTAACTAGAATAATCAACCCCATTGTAGCAAATCAGATAACTCAAAAGGCAACAAACAATTAAAAACTAAATGACAACCTAAGTTAATAGGACCAATGATGGAAAGAGTGTAATTACATGAACTTTGAGGATAATAAAATGAACCAAAGAGATATAAGTAGAGCATGACCAAAAAAGGCAGATGGGAAACGTAAATTGAGCAAGAAAGCTCCCACTTTGCTTTTATCATCAATCTTGACAATCTAGTTGGAAATTCTTGGTTCAATGCCATAAGATTTTTAACTTAAATCCTACAGAATAACAGCATGTGAAAAAGGGAAATAGATTGTTATATGCTGCATGAGTACAAAAGAAGAGTTCATTATCGTCTTATCTAAAGTGCCTATATGATGCTTCTAGCACAAAGACATTGTCCACAAAAAACTTTAAGCTTCTTATCATCGCCTATAGTTAAACATAGGAGACTAGACTACCCTATATGTATTATAGAGATAACAAGCAATATATGTAATGTTGGAGTCATCCAATCTTAATATTGCTACTCAATACAAGCAAAGAAGACAATTATTATCTTCTCAAAAGAATTTAACAGGTGCCTTTTACTAGAATAAATTACATCTGTCTAACCTTTTCGAGGAAGATGCAAGGCGTCCACTTCCTCAAGCTTACGTCGGTAATCTTGTTCAAATCTGTCTAAAGCATGATACTCATGGTATAATTCCTGCAAAAGTGCAAAACAAAAATGTTAGCATCTTTAATTGATGAATGGAAGTTACATAGTTTGTCTAGCTAAAGACTTAAGGAGAAAAAACATAGAAAATGAAGAAATATTAAATACTGAACTAAATTCCCCAAATGTGAGATGGAAATGGAAATGGAAATGGAAATGGAAATGGAAATGGAAATGGCAGATGCCCAGGTTACACTATATTGAATATCGTTTGTGATGCCCATGCCTCAATGTTTATATGTGTGGAAACGGCAGATGCTCAGGTTACACTATATTGAATAACGGGGCAGGTATTGGCGGGTAATACACCCCCGACACCGATCCCGCCCAACTAATCCCCAACGGGTTCGGGGGAGAAGGAATCCCCGACGGGTTCGCTGAACCCATTGGGTACCTATTTAGTAAAAAACAACGTATTTTAAAATTAAATTATAATGAATCATTACTACATTAATCAACAATATTGAAAAACAAATATATTTGTCATTTGATGATAAATATATACATATATATTTATTTATACACACTATATACATATATTAAATATAATAAAAAAAATTAATCAGGTCAGATTTGGGGGGGG